CCCTGAACAAGGAACCCCGTTCAGCACGGAATATCCCCGTGGCCCTTCTGAAGCATCGTGCCTTTTAAAACCTGGAGTCGCCCTTAAGTTTCTAGTCCTCAAGAAGTACAGGTTGGGCTCAGGTGCAAACGCTAGGCAGGGCCCGTCAGAAATGCCGAGGCCCCATCATGGAGATGGATTTCTGGGGTGCAGAGCAAGATTTTGCCCCGGGCCCAAGTTTTGGGCAAGGGAAATAACATTTTAAAATAGATCACATGGAAAGTTGCATATATATTTAATATATATATATTAAAAAGAGGAGCATGGGGTAGAATCGTTTCTCCTCTGTTCCAACCTGGAATGGAGCTAAATATGTTTCCGCAAACTTCATGGCCACGAAGTCAGGGAGATTGGCACGCGGGTTAGCTTGGGAAACCGAAATGTCTCTTATCTTGGCTGGAGTACGGATCGGGGAGGGACGTTGTCTGGCTCGTAAAGGCTTTGCCGAGCTTGTGGCTACTCCAGGCAAGATGATTGGAGACCGATGTCCGGTCCAATTTAATGAGCTGTCCATCAACTGGGGGGGGCGAGGGACCCCTGGCGGTATTAAAACCACTGATGTCATTTAAGCAAGGACATCTCGGAGCAAGGGCCGTGCGTGTGCGTGTTATAAATAGATTATAAAGCAGCTTTTCCCAAGCCCAATACGCCCGACTTGAACAAGGAGGGCCATCTAGGTCAGCCTGGGCGACCAAAAGGCTGGCTGGGGAAGATGGGCGTTGTCATCATGGCTGGGGAAGGAGGAACCAACCGTCTTGCGGGCGGTTAGCGAAAAGATAGACCGAAATCTTTCCTTCCTGATCGAAAGGGGCTGCAGCGGGGGGGTCCAATTAAGTGGGGGAAGGTCTAAAATCTAATTATTTTAATAAAAAGTCCTCTTCTGCATGACACCTACAATCGGGGCAGTGTCGGCGTCTGGAGACGCGGTTGCTCGCCGTCGAAAAACGACTCGATGGCACATCGTCAAAACCCATTTTTAGCCGGCTTGGATTTTCAACCAGCTGGCACCATTCCAGGGCTTGGTCCACCGGGCCTGTAATCCAGGAGGATGGAAGTTGTAGTGGGAAGCCTTGCACAGATCCAAGGTTGCGGAGAGCTGCGTCAGCCCACTTCCAACATGTTCCTTTTCGCTCCTCCTTCGGGGAAAAGGGTTGAAGAAACATCCCGGCTTGCTAGAAATTGCAACCCGGCTCTTGCACGCCGTGCCCTTGAGCGGTTAAAAAAGGATAAATAAAGAGGGTTTATACATTTCATAAATAAAGGGCTGGATTTTCAAAGGGGCAGACCGTAGGGGAAGAGAGCACATGTGCAGAAACCTTTCCCCCCCGCTTTTCATTCTGGTTTCCCCCAGTTTTAATTGGGGGGACTGAAGTCATCCATTCAACCCCCTCTCTGGCTTTTGATGCTGTTCCAAAGCAGCAGTTGTGCACCCCTTAAGGCCTAGAAACTTGAAATCTAATCTCTTTAACGGGCGACGAAACCCAGCAGGATCAGGACGTAAAACCCAGGGCACCGTCGGTACCAAATGTACCGATTTGGCTTATGGGGTACGGTTGGCTACACGCAATTCCCCCAAAGAGAAATATCTGTCTTTGTTTTTAATCTGGGGGACGTTGGCATTCGCGGCTGGGTGGGAAAATAGCGCTCGGCTCCGTGGTGGCCTCTAGCGACGGCTGCGCAAATCGCAGATTCACGTGGCTCCAGAGTGGCCATGGATCACGCTGGGCTGGAGTCGCCAAATTAATTCCTTGCTGTGGACTTGGGGGAGGGAGACCAAAGGAGGGGAAGAAAGTTGGGACGGGTGGTCTCTCTCCAGGCGCACAGGCAGAGCGGCCGAGACCGTTTCGGGCCCGGGCTGTGCGTGGAAATAGTGATGCTCGAAGGAGAGCGCAAGGGCGCTTCTCATTTCAGAAGTCGCAACGTTGCTGAAGCCTGCTAAGCATCCTTCTCTCCCCCTGCCCCAAATGTGAGCGTTGGGCTGGGTCTCCTGTTGGAGATGAAGCAGCGTCAGAAAAATGCAGCTGATGGTCCTTGCCTGCCTGCCTGCCTGTCTGCCTGCCTTCCTCCTCCTCCTCCTCCTCCTCCTCTCTCCTTCCTTCCTTCCTTCCTTCCTCCTCCTCCTCCTCCTCCTCCTTCTCCTTCTCCTTCTCCTTCTCCACCACTCTTTCTCCTCTTCCTCTTCCTCTTCCCCTTCCCCTTCCATCCATACCCTTCACCACCACTCCTCCTCCTCCTCCTCTCCTTCCTTCCTTCCCTCCCTCCCTCCCTCTCCTTCCATCTCCATTTCCATCTCCATCTCCTCCTTCATCACCCTCTGCATATGCCCAGATACCACTGTTGAAGAAGTCATCATGGGAAGGCCCTTCCTTAGCTCAAGTCCTCCGGGGACCTCCAGAGCTAACGTTCTCCTTCTCCTCCTCTTCCCTCTCTAGCTTACGGCGAGAAGGTTACACGGTCCAGGTGAACGTCAACGACTACCTGGACATCTATTGCCCCCATTACAACACCTCGGTGCCCGAGGGGCGCATGGAGCAGTACGTCCTCTACATGGTAAGCCTGGAAGGCTACCAGACGTGCGATATCAGCCAAGGCTTCAAACGCTGGGAGTGCAACCGTCCTCACGCGCCGCACAGCCCCATCAAGTTCTCGGAGAAATTTCAGCGTTACAGTGCCTTCTCGCTGGGTTATGAATTCCACGCTGGCCACGAATATTACTACATCTGTGAGTTGCGCGTCTTTTCTCCTCACCGACCCCTTTGCCCTAATCATTCCGTGGCGGGATGCATTTCTTACTGTGCGTTGCACTCCAAAAAACGACATGCACCCAGCTCTTGATGGCAGACACTAGGAAGAAGTTGGCTTGATTCAACGGGGCCACCTCCCCCTATTAAAAGGAGTTTGGATAAATTCACAGAAGATGGGTTTACCACGGGTTATTGGTCATGAAGACTCCATGTTACCTCCCAGTTGCAGGCAGTGTCGCTCCAGGTGCCAGTTATGGGGGTATGATATGGGGACCTGTGTCCATCTCGGGCACCACCAGTGGGAGAATCAAACACCAGACTAAAAAGGACGTTGCTCTGAGACCACAGGGCGGTGCTTCGTGTCTAATAGCTCACTGGCCATAGGATGGTGGTCTGACACAGGATAAGGGGCTTCACATAGGCTGAGTTCAGACGACCCACTCCCCCACCAATTAGCTAACTGCATTTAAGCTCGATGTGAAAGCTCTGGGCTTGTCCATGGATCAGTGGGTGTTGCAAACCTTCAAAATGCAGTTAATTGCATAAACTAGGGTTCAGTGACCTGGGTCACACGTTTGGGCTGTGTGAGTGGGGAAAACCCATCCCACTGCTTAGCATCTCCTGGCGGAGCGGGGGGAACTTTTACGTGAGACCCAAAACCATTCCACGTAAATCCAAGCTCAACATATTAGCGGTTTGGCTCCTCCTAAGGCTGATGCCTCTGTCTTTTTTAACTGAAATAAGAACCACGAGGACTAGACCCTTGCTTTCTTTTTAGATGAGCCGTGGCTCAGGAACACAAGCCCTGCTCTGGGTGCAGAAGGCTCTGGCACATTTGCAGTGGAAACGAGTTTGATTTGTTCAAGGGCCCCTTTTTTTCCTTTTCCATTTTCCTGCATTTTCCCTGCCTCAAAGACCCTGTAATGCAGGGACTGTTTTTGATGGAAACCTTCCTTACCTTCCCAGGAAGTTCTAGAAATCCGACGGTCCCCTTTCCCTCTTATTTGCCTGCTTTTAAAAAGGAAAGACTCCCGTCCTTTGCAGAAGTTTAGTGGCTGAGCTAAAGAGGAGGATAGGATGGTTGGCCACCAGGGGGCGCCCTTGGCCAAGCCATAAGAGCAGCAAAAACCTTCTGCGCCATTGGAAGATTTCCACGGCGCGCGCGGCAGTGCTGTTCTCCCCCCATTTCTCTCCCCCACAGCCCTGCGAGGTAGGCCAGGCTGCCCACATCACACCTCACCGTGCCCCACTGAGTGACGTTTTGTTGGATAAGCCGGCAATCCGGGATCGCACAACCCACGGGCACGACACTAAAGGAACCACACAGCGGCTTGGTGCCTTATTTGAATCCGAGAAGAGAAAGCCAGCC